TATATACCCATATACATATACATATACATACATATATATACAAATATATATATATATATATATATATATATTGAAAGACGAACTCATACAGATAATCAAATGAACTGCTGCAAATATTACAACGCGCATACCTCCGTACTGTGTGTATCCTTGCTTCAAATCACAAAGACTCTGCACAAGCTGTTCGAAGCCAATGTCTTCCTGATATTGCAAATAGTACCTCTGTGCCGTCAAGCGCAAGTTCTCTATCAGAATATTGGCATCGGCTGTAATCCCAGCTACACATACAGCAATGCTGTCATTAATCTTATAGATCTTCTCACTACTTTTGGAAGCCTCTAAGAGCTTGGATGTGTTCTTGTTCTCCGCCGCAAGCACAATGCCTTCCTTGCAGAGCACCCCCATGCACGTACCCGCGTGGGAGATGGCCTCCATCGCATACTCTACCTGGTATAGTCGGCCCTCGGGTGAGAAGATGGTTGTGCGTGTGTCATATCGACGAGACATGATGCAAAGGATGAGGGTGTGGGTGTGTTTATATGTACACTTAAACGCTGGGACGTGTTGGTACGTATTTATATGTATATATGCTGTCGCGGGCGATGGGGTTTTGTTTACTTCTGATATGGTAAGTGTACGTCGAAAATGATTGTTGCCGGGAGAGCGAAAAACAATAGGGCGACTAACAGTTCGGTACATTCTTGGGTTGAGTGAGACCACCATTAGGCCAACAGAAGCTATTTTACAGAGAGGCAACAGCCGGAAGGAGAACTATTTGGCGGTAAACGTTCGGTACATTGTTGGGTTAGGTTAACTCACGCGATGAAGATAAATAAATCTATACACCACAAGAGGTGTGTACATTTGTATGTATATATTTGTATGTATGTATGTATTTATATTTACACTAGTACTATAGTCCGTTAACAGTCGACAGAGTATCTTAACGGGGGCCTTGTCGACTGTGCTCCTTCGTATGGTAATATTTTACCTTCCTGCTGGGTGGTGGTGCATGTACACACTCACAGCTGGTGTCGCACCTACACATTCGCAGCCAAATGTGAACCGATATATAGTACCACACACACAGCTAATCAATAGTACCACACACACAGCTAGATTGAACCCCCGGTACATCTGACACCATGGCCAACGTCACAGCCAAAGATGCCATGCAAATACACGGGCGCAATCCCCAGCACCTGGTTGATAAGATCATACGCACACGTATATACGACTGCCGATATTGGAAAGAGGACTGTTTTGCCCTCACAGCCGAGTCATTGGTGGAGAAGGCTGTTGACCTGAACTACTGTGGGGGGGTGTATGGGGGTAGTGTCAAAGCTACGCCGTTTATATGCTTGCTGCTGAAGATGTTGCAGATACAACCGGATAGGGAGATCATTGTGGAGTTCATAAAGAATGAAGACTATAAGTATGACGTGTTCTGCTGATATGTTAGGGTGTTTCAGCGTATATAGAGAGTTCTATTTATAATATGCTCTTCGTATACAATGGCATTTAACACGTATGTGTGTATACACCCTCGGGAACGTTTTTTTTTGACAACTCGTTATCGCACGCATATACGCTAGACCCATGTGCGCGTGTATTGTAGTGCGCATGTACACCACGCATACATATATATACATACATATATATATATATACATATATATATATATATATATATATATATATATATATATATACCTTTGTTGTATATATATATATATGTATATTTATTACTATATGTATGTATGTGTATGTTTGCATGTTTGCGTGCGTGTATGTGTGTGTGTGTGTGTGTACAAGTGTGTATGTATGTATGTATATACATATATATGTATATAGGTATATATATATATACATATGTGTGTGTATGTGTGTGTGTGTGTGTGTATAAGTATGTATGTATGTATGTATATACATATATATGTATATAGGTATATCTATATATACATATGTGTGTGTGTGTGTGTGTGTGTGTGTGTATCTATATATAGTCTATCTTCATCGTTGCTGCCAATTATGCGACATACATTACTATATATGTGTATAAGTGGTTGTGGCTTTGCATAATAATCAACACGTATCCATTATATGAATGTCGTATTAGACTCAATGTGAAGTCGAATCTTATTTGTGAGCAACAGTATATTGCATTGAAGCCCTGTTCCCCGCCCAGTAGATTTCGCAGTTAGCCGAACCTACATTCCTATATGCATCATGTTTCAATCAGTTGTTACTATATATAAGAGGTGTTGTTTCTATATAAATATACATATGTATATATATATATAGGTTTGTGCTATACTGTGTGGATTGAAACTTTGATAGGCACATAGGGAGATGACCTTGTTGAAATTCCATAGGCTGCGAATAATCTCTGACCTATCGTCGCATATAGTATATTCCTACTATATATGAATTTGTGTTGTCACTTTTCTATATATAGATAGTATGTTGTTACTATATATATGAAGTTAGTTCGTGCAATACTATGTGGACTGGAAACTTTCAATTTCAAATAGTTAGATGACCATTTCGACATGCCATAGGCTGCGAATGACCTCTGACCTAGTGTCACATATAGTATGCTGTTACTATATATAGGAAGTTATGTTGTCACTTTTCTATATATAGATAGTATGTTGTTACTGTAAAGTAGGAAAGAACTGTAGGCTGTAGAGGTATATAAGTCTCGCTCTTAAATCAACAATGTATGTTATGGTTTTCTTTCTACATGATTTATCTATTATCCGACACATGTTACGACAAGAGAGTGGATGGGTGGTATAGGTGGATTAAAGGAGTGGATGGGTGGTATAGGTGGATTAAAGGAGTGGATGGGTGGTATAGGTGGATTAAAGGAGTGGATGGGTGGTATAGGTGGATTAAAGAAGTGGATGGGTGGTATAGGTGGATTAAAGGAGTGGATGGGTGGTATAGGTGGATTAAAGAAGTGGATAGGTGGTATAGGGGGTACTAAAGGAGTGGATGGGTGGTATAGGGGGTACTAAAAGAGTGGATGGGTGGTATAGGGGGTACTAAAGGAGTGGATGGGTGGTATAGGGGGTACTAAAGGAGTGGATGGGTGGTATAGGGGGTACTAAAAGAGTGGATGGGTGGTATAGGGGGTACTAAAGGAGTGGATGGGTGGTATAGGGGGTACTTGTGACCAGTGTATGTCATGTTTCATACATTATATCATCCGATACATGTTACGACCAGGCAGTGGACCAGGGGCACGTTGGGATACGTCTGTAGGTACTATACCATGCAGTTGGTAAGGCGTCCTCACTTCAATCAAGCTATCTATCACCTTACCCACCTGTGTGCGTGTAGCTGATACGTCACACTTCTCCTCTCACGGCACCAGATACGTTCGTCTGCTGGGTGCTTTGTACCTGCGTCTGACGGCTAATTCGCAAGACTGTTACAAGTACTTGGAGCCATTGTACGATGACTTCCGCTGCATCAGGGTAAAGAACAAGCTGGGTAAGCTTGTGCGTTCACACGTGGACGAATTCGTAGACGAGCTGCTACACGAGGAGCGTGTGTGTGATGTGCAAATGCCGCGCGTGCAGAAGCGGTTTATCCTCGAAGAGACCGGACAGGTATGTGAAGTGAAGTGAAGTCAATGGGCCGATCATTCCAGAGATGTTCTAGGCTTAATTTTATAGCCATCGTTTGGAGATGGTTCACTTACAGATGCACGTATGTGAGGCGCTTTAAATTGGCATATAAATGACACGTGGTTATAATGAGCCGCTGATGTATAGGGTTGTAGGTGGTCTAGGTATCGGTCTAGGTCTTTGTGTAGGTATCGGTCTAGGTCTGGGTCTATGTGTAGGTATCGGTCTATGTGTAGGTATCGGTCTAGATCTAAGTCTAGGTCTATGTGTAAGTATCGGTCTAGGTCTGTGTCTAGGTATTGGTATCGGTCTAGGTATTGGTATTGGTATCGGTCTAGGCATTGGTATCGGTCTAGTTCTAGGTATTGGTATCGGTCTAGTTCTAGGTATTGGTATCGGTCTAGGTGTAGCTGTAGCTGTAGGTCTAGGTGTAAGTATCGGTGTAGCTGTAGGTCTAGGTGTAAGTATCGGTGTAGCTGTAGCTGTAGGTCTAGGTGTAAGTATCGGTGTAGCTGTAGCTGTAGGTCTAGGTGTAAGTATCGGTGTAGCTGTAGCTGTAGGTCTAGGTGTAAGTATCGGTGTAGCTGTAGCTGTAGGTCTAGGTGTAAGTATCGGTGTAGCTGTAGCTGTAGGTCTAGGTGTAAGTATCGGTGTAGCTGTAGCTGTAGGTCTAGGTGTAAGTATCGGTGTAGCTGTAGCTGTAGGTCTAGGTGTAAGTATCGGTGTAGCTGTAGGTCTAGGTGTAAGTATCGGTGTAGCTGTAACTGTAGGTCTAGGTGTAAGTATCGCTGTAGCTGTAGGTCTAGATGTAGTTGTAGGTGTAGTTGTTAGTGTAGGTGCCTTCATGTCAGTCGTAGATTCCTGCTTACATGCCCATTAAACCAATACAAAACGCACCCATGCACACGACTCTGTGCAGTACCACTGCATATTACAAAGGGTAAGACAGAAGTTAGAACCATCAACCCAACCCCGTAAACCTAAATCCATGAACCTAAATCCGTAAACCTAAATCCATGAACCTAAATCCGTAAACCTAAATCTATAAACCTAAATCCTTAAACCTAAATCCGGCCACCAGGAGCAACCTGTTTTTATCTCCACTCATATTCCAGTACACGGACATGGCTTACTTCTACTACACCCATCCACCAGTTGCAACCACGCATCAGTGCTATCGATGATCTTCTGGACGACGATGATGACGAAGACGTCGAGATGGCGGACACGGCCACTGCATCGGCTGAGGTGAACGCTATCGCCGTCAACGGGATGGCACAGTCACCCGAGCGACAGAAAGAGCGAAGAAGCGACAGGGACCACCGCAGTGATCGCAAACCGTCTCGAGACAGAGACAGAGATAGAGACAGACGCACGTCACGTGACCGGGCGAGAAGGTCATCGCCTGAGCGGAAGTCGTCTAAGGAACGAGACTCCGCGAGAGACAGAGAACGCCGACCATCGAGGAGAGAGTCGGGCGAGAGAAGGTCCTCGAGGGATCGAACTTCTAAAGATACAGGCGGGTCTAGAGGTAGGAAGTCGTCTCGAGATCGGGACAGAGAGACGTCCAGGGGCAGAGATAAGAACATGTCTACTCGCGCGCGGCACGACGATCGAGATCGCCGTGAACGCCCACGCGACGATGAGCGCCGAAGAGACAGAGAAAGAGAGCGCAAGGACAGGGACAGCGCACGTGACCGCGACGGAGAGAGACGGGAACGCGATAGAGGCCACAGCAGAGACAGACCCAGCCGCCGATCTGAGCGCGGTCGCGGCGGCGAGCGCGACCAGAGTCGCGAATCGCGCCGAAATGAGCGTCGAGATAGAGACCGAAGCAGAGGACGTGAGAGAGGGCGCTCGGGGTACAAAGACCTGGATCAGCCGGAGGATAGGCCTAGAGAGAGCCATGCCGCGGGTTCGAGTTCGCGGTCACGCCGCCGTAGATATAGGAGCAGTAGCCGCGATAGACGACACCGAAGCAGGAGCAGAGTCCGGTCTACCACACGCACTGGCGACCGTACGAGACGGAGCAGGCGCAGCCACACACGCTCGCGTAGTCGCAGTGGCGGCCGTTCCGATAGTACGGATAGCAGAGGCAGCTCAGGTGACAGTGGCAGTGACAGTGATTGCGATAGCGATAGCGATAGCGATAGCGATAGCGATAGCGACAGCGACAGCGATCGAGAGCACAGGGCCCAGCGCTCGAGGAAACGGTCGCGCAGTCGCAGTGCTAGTACCGGTGGAAGGGCTACAGCGCTCGCTAATGAGGACGGTGAGGTGTCTGATTGTAGCAAGCGGCCCAGGCGCAAGAGGAGGGCCAGAAGTCGGAGTGCTAGTGACGGGGAAAGGACGGACAAGAAATATAGGGCTGGTTCCCGGTCGCGTAGTCGGGATAGGAGCCATAGCCGTGATAGAAGTATTAGCAGAGACAGGCGTAGCAGCAAGAGCCGAAGCAGAAGCCGCAGTCGTAGTCGTAATCGTAGTCAAATCAGGGGGAGAAGGTATGTGAACGTCCTGTTTAGAAGTTGGCGATGATGTTGAGAATATTGGAAACCTCTATGTTGAAGTTGCCGGGTTATCTTTGTAGTCATGCCGGTGTATTGAGGTGGTATTGTTCGTGTTGTTTAGAATTAGCACCTGTCGATATATTCACTCCGCGTCTATTCTTGATCGCCGCCTTTCTTTGTCTTTCCATTCAACGCAATGTGATGATTGACAATTACCGTTGTACCTGTTTTGCAATACCTCGCTCGAATCGAATCTATCAGCGGAGACGAGTCTGATGATATGGACCTTGATAACATTCCCCTTCCGGATGATGATGTGGACGACGAGGATGCTGACCTGATGGACATACCAATGCCCCAGGATGCACCCGATACGCCGCATCACGTAGCCGCCACAATCACCGAGCCAAAGGCGCAGACCGAGACCAAATCGAAGTCCTCGAGCTCTAAGAGTGGTAAAAAGCACGCTCTGAGCTTCAAGGGGGATGCGAAGAGTTCCGATAAGGCCGCTGGCAGAGCCAAGAAGGGAGAGAAGGCTGCTAAATTGCTCGAGAAACTGCAACCGCAGGAGACGAAAGATATGGATTTGGAGAGCGCCGGAGGTGGTGCGAAGGACTCTCTGTCAGTGGACGCCACGAACGCACTGCGCGTCAAGCTCGGTATGCACTATCGTCAACACAGCTGTCTGTTGAATCTCTTTCATATGTTCTCGTTGTGAAAAGAAGAAGAAGAAAAACTTCCTAATCGGGGATTCGAACCCGCGGACCATAGTTTTATAATATCCCCGAGTAATACATAGGGGGATCGTATGCGCACTTCAGCTCGAAGCGCCGAAAACTCAGTCACATTACTACATATCGTTTGAGGTCTTTAACTGCATGTACTTATTGGGCATTGGTGATATGCTCCATAAGTTTTGCTTCTCTGGCGAATTCTGGGTTTTTTTTTTTGGGGGGGGGGGGGGGTTTTTTATGCGGACCCCATCTCTGTCTTGCCCACCTTTGACGCATGTGCTGACCTTTTAATTTTCTTTCTAATTATCTCTCTGCAACGGTAGGCCTCAAACCACTGCGATGACCTTGGGTTTAGCTTCATTGCCAGATATATAAAAACTGTTGGTCCGTGCGACTACATACAACTCAAGGGACTGGCTATATGATCCAGGACAGACTCTGAGTCTGGGGTGTCCAGCACAGATGTGTGCATAACTAAAGGGCCGAAAAGGGGCAAATGAGAGCGTGCAGTTTTAGATACGTTTATCTTGCGCCACATTGAAAGTCTGGTCGAGCGCTATGTGTGGCATCTGTCAACATCTCAAACGGCGTTGACCTGACTGGGTCCTTGTGATTGGCGTCAACAATGGAATAACTATCGATAAGATGTATTTCTGAATAAAGCGACGATTTGCTCATCAATCATAGCGCTGATAAATCGCACAGGCCAGATGAAATATGTAATAGCTTCGGCATCGCACGCCTGTGGGTAAGCGATGTACTAATGGATCGACTTATAGCAGCACATCATAATTGCTATGCCAGTATGACCATTTACCGATCAGTATATGAATAAACATAGCTGAAGACAAGCCCCGATTCCAGGATATGGGGGAAAATGGCTATTTGGAATGTCCAAGAGCTGAAAGCTGACATATTTTACATAGCTCGTGAAATCAGCAATGTCGAAGTACATACCGAAGTGCATGCACCTCAACTAAAGTTCAATTGAAAGCTTCTGCATCACATACGAATGATGTTTGAAACTTACTCACCTCCTTATCTTTTCCCTTTCGAAGTACTCTAAGCGCTCACTCCTGGCGTACACACCATACATGCTCACAATTTCAATACATACGCACTCTGTACGCGAGCGCAAGCACTGGCGGCTAGAGTTCATCTTAGTGTCAAGTATTCCCGCTAACTTTGGCGCTACAAGATACTTGTTAGGGTTTTAGGGTATTAGGGTTATCCATAGGTTGTGCGTGAAAAAACTCTTGAAAATATGATCGTCCGTCACATGTTTTTTGGTTACTTTATTTTTTTGTATATTTTGTACTATAAATATGTTGTATAATTTAGAAGGCTAGGATATGTGCTGATACTGTTCGTTTTGTATAACAAACTGACTGATAATCACAGTAAATACACAAATATACAATGAGTGAAGTTAGTAAAACAGATGCACCAATGCCAGAGAGGCACGCGGGGGACAAGAACCCTCGAGCGGTGCGTTGTTCAATTTGCACTTGCAAAATACTGAATGCAAACTTGGGAGTTTACACTGATATAACAAAGGACCTCCCGGAGACGAGCCTCAAGGCGAAAGAAGTCTCGGTATGTGTATAAATTTAGGATTGCCTGATGGCAATTTCACTGTCAAATCTATTCTTATAGCCAGAAATCGGACCACAAATGAACTGTGGATTGCCTATATGTGGAATATATCCCGCTCACCCCACTCACTCAGTATGAACCATGATAAATAGCGAATGCCAATGAGGTGAAATATGTGCACATAGCTCCACAGGTTCAAATTCCTCGCAAATGACTTTTTTTTCTAAGTTTGGACAAAAATATCCAAATATCTTTATCTATCTAAAACTACGTACACGCATATACATACATATATTTATTTAAATATA